GCGCGTGTCCAACCTCATTCTTGAGCTCAGCAATCTGGTCCCGGAGTTGGTTGATGTACTGTCTGGAGTCTGAGTGGTTCAGCTGGCCCTGGATCAGCCCTGCCTCCTTCTGAAAAACACATTTCACACACAGAAAGGCCACAGTATCTTTATTGCTACTGTTTAAATTAAATTAATCATCTGCATACAGACAATAACACCTACATTGAAACACTGTATGTAAGTACAATCCATACGGACACAGAGGAGCGTAAACACACACCTGGATCTCGAGTTCAGCTATCTTCTGCCTGAGTTCAGCCACAGCAGCCATACTGTCTGCTTCCCTCAGTCGCACAGCCATCACCTCCTCTTTACTCTACATGTATGAGGGCAGAGGGGGTGGGAGTCGAAAGAAAGAAGACATTTCCTGCTTAATAACTGAACACAGTGGATGACAGTGATAAACTGGATTTCAGTGATGAATATTGATGATGCATCATAAACTGTCTCAGTCCCTCCATTTACATCCCACTATGTCCTCCTTCAGTGCATCTGTCCTTTTCTTTACAGTCAGACACTGCACGTTTCTCACAATTTCTATTTCTGTCCCACTACATCTATCTGGTCCTCTTTTTTTCCCTTTCCATTCTCTGTCATTCCCTTTGTCTTTTTATCCTCTTCATCCCTTTTTTGTCATCATTCCTCGTTGTCTTTCCATCCAGTTATTAGTGTCTCATTACTGTACGTTTCATTAAGCTGGACGTTGTTCTTCCCATCAATCAGCCTTTTTCTCCCTTTCATCCCTTCCCTCCCCTCTCGCTAACTCAATTTCTTTTTATCTCTCCAGACCTTGCAGTCGGACTCTGCCTGCTTCCTTTTCATTTCATTGAGTTGGGCCTGGAGAGCTTTATTCTGATTGGCCAGCATCTGGAGCCTGTCCTGCAGGGCGGAGCGTTCCTGCTCGTTGCGACCGATCAGCTTGCTGTGGATCTGGTTCTGGAGTGAAGTCAAATGTGAGAAGGTGAGTATGACCCATTAATTAATCATTTCGTCTATGATATGTACAATAATAGTTAAAAACTCCCACAACCCCCATAGAGTCAAGCACGATTATGGCTGTTAGACATGTAGTTATATAGTTTGCTGCATTACCCTGTGACAGCACAGTGATTACTTATCACTGTTTCTATGAAATGCTTTGAATAAAACTAAACTGACCTTTGCTCCATAAGTGTGTATAAGAAAATGACTTGCATGTTTGTATACTCTCTATGATCAGTGTGTGTACAGTATGTCTGACCTGGCTCTCCAGCTGCAGGGCTTTAAGTTTGACCTCTCTGAGCTCAGCCTGAGCCTGGGCCTCCCTCAGTCTGACCGTCATCAGTTTGTCCTGCAGCTCGTTCATGGCGTTCTTCTTGGGGGATTCCTTCCAGTGGCCGCCCCCGCCACCCGTGCTGCTGCCACGGGACATGTGATGCTGCAGAAACACAGAGTGCATAGGTGTGGCTGCACAGATGGGGCTCATGAACATGCACACACAGGTAGTTTATAGAGAAACAGCAGCAGTTTGTGTGTGTTACCTGCCAGCGTTGGTTGAGCTCAGTGACGGTGTCCTGCATCTCTCTGAATGAGCGAAGCGTTTCCAGCTCCCTCAGCTTCATCTGCTTCACCTCCTCCTTCAGAGCCACCATGTTGTTCTCATCAGGCAGGCAGCTGCTCCTCTGGATGGACAAACGCCATGTTTACACTTTAGAAATACTAACTAACTAGTCTGCAGCCATGCTAGCAGCTATGTGAGGCTGTAAATAGCTGTTGCTGTTGGAGCCATACATTCTGCCCAATCAGTATCACGCCAGAGGAACTCTCAGAGTTCATAAGTAAACAAGATGTCTTATTTGTTATCTACTTCCATTATCAGCTCCAAGACAAAAACAATGTGTTTAATTCAGAAGGTCACTGATAAAAATGTTTTAGTTATTATTTTATAAGTATTAACATCTTCTGGAAGCAGTCTAATGAAGTATGTGATATGGTGACTTACATCACATCTATGGTCAGTCTTGGTGGACTGACCAACCAACAGACTGACAGTTCCTGGAATATTGACAAATTGTAACAGTAAACAAAAACAGCTTTTTTTAGCTTTCAGTTTTACGTTACAGTAAATTAATCAGCACGGTGAAGCTGTTGTGTCTCAACACCTCGGGAAGTAAAACTGAAAGCTTGAAACCTCAAATATACCTCTTTCATCATTTGGAATAAATTACCAGTAAACAGATCATCGTTGACACATTTTTCACACGCCTGCTGTCTCTGCTCATATTTCACACTCTGTTCTCTCTCACACGCTAAAATTTGCGTCTGTTAGCCCACCTTCTCCAGGTCGAGGACCTTGTCTTGCATTTCCTTCAGCGCTCCCAGCAGTTCGGCCTCGCGCAGTCTGGACTGCTCCAGCTGGGTCTGCAGATTGCTCACAAACTGCTCTGTGTACTGAAACAAATCACTGGTGTTACACAGTTATATTGTATAACAGGGCAGTGGGGCTTGATACCAACTTTGATCATTGGTTGATCAGCTTTCTTGAGCTTGTGTTACGAGCTTACTTGGGCCAAGTGAAAGGTTTTCGTTTCATTGTCACATGCAGACTAGTGTTGATGATGGAGTTTAGCTGCGTTTCCACTGCATTGTATGGATCACCTCAACTCTAAGCTACTCTTTTTGGTACTTCATTTTCACTGATACCCCCTCAACACAGGCAGAGATGACTGTCATAGCTACATTATTACAGCAGTAGGGAAATAACACATAGGCGCTTTACTTTGGTCTTGAGAAGCTGCAGCTTTTATTCACTGACAAACTCTAACCCACGCTGTACAGTTACTGCCAGATTGACACCTTCACTGCTCGCCTTTTTCTCTACTCCGCTCACATTCACCATGCACACGTACACAAAAATGAGATGTGCTACTCTTGATGGTGGTCTCGATTCGTCTGCACTTCGTTAATTGATCATGGAGTGGTTTTGTGGGCCTCTCATTTTTGAGTGAATAAAAAGAATTGCAGTTGCTATTGATGGTAGCTTGGTTAAAAATGCCAGGTTTGTTGAGGATGTCCTGTGTCTATTCTAGTGACGACTCCCTCTGACCACAGACAGAGTAAAGTCGAGTTGAGCTGAGCCGTACCATACAGTGGAAAATTAGTCATGACCAGGAGTTCAGTTCAGCTGGGATTACCACAGTGTCTGAATTGGTGTGAATTCTGTTACAAGCTGCCGTTAAATCTCTTTCTCTTTTGGTTTCTTCTTCTGTTGAGAAATCTAACAGCAAACTGACTGTTCACACAGCAAATCCTTGCCAATCCTTGTCCAGTGTTAGTTAGGATTAACATTTTTATCAAAGAGCAGAAAAGGTTTTCTGCACTCTACCTTTGGGGAAGGCAGCAGATAATTTGCAGCAATACATTTGATTCCTTGGCTGCAGCCACAAAGCAAAAAAAAGACTTACTCCTCCTTTCTGTAACAAATAAATTAAAAGCATTAATATGCCAACATGCCACTTTAACCCACATGATCATCTACAGCTAGTCTTTATGTGGCAACAAAATGATAACGGTTCAAGGCTTTTAATTTTGTATGAGGCCTAAACAATGTCACCTTTTTTATGTCCCCAGTACTTAGTAAATCTAATTCAAAATAGCTCAAAAGTTGGTATCAAACGTCCCTCCTACCCCACTGACTTTTCTGACATCACTGAGTGAAAATAGAAAGCTACTGTACTTGTACTTGTCACCACATCAAAGCGAACCTACAAAGTTAAAGGTTGTGAGAGCAGCAGTAATGCAGAGGGCTGAGTGGAAAAGTACTTTTCCTACGTCGCAAAATAAAAAAGGCTTGAAATTGGGCAAGTACATAGCGTGCATAAAGGAGTCTCGGTTTGTCATTTCGGGCTTCTCAGTCTTGGTTATCAAAGAGGACTGTGAGTGTCTGTAGGTGTGTGAACTCTGGTGGGTGATGGGTGCCAGCAATCTGAGCTGGATCACCCATCACAATGACATCATTTAGAGTGCGCACATGAAATAATGAATCAATGGCTTGGATTTTTTTCTATTTAAAGTAACATTTCCTTGATTCACATTCACACTTTTGCTTACTCTTTGATGGTGATCTGCTAAAGACAGTTTTAAGTATTAATCCTTTGTAAAAACAGGAGGAGTTTGTTTTTGTCTGTTAGCGAAGCTGGAGTTGGACAAATGGGACAGGCAACATCAAACTATATCACTGACTTATTCATTACAAACAGCTGCTTGTGTATGTAGAAAAATAACTTAGAAAAGGTGTGGTCTGAAATTTCTAAATAATTTGTTCTCCGATAGCATCATATATAGCAGCACCACAAATCATATACAGGCATATAAAACGGTTTCAAACTCCAGTGATGGAGATCTTAAGTAAAAGTAACAATACCACAACATAAACATACTCCATTACAAGTAAAAGTCCTGCATTGCAAGTGTTACGCAAGTATTTTTCACAAAAAGACTCAATGCATTAAAATGGCCCCTGTGAATGTTATACTATTAAATATTATCATATTAGATCATTATTGCTGTACTTTTTTACTGTTGTAGTTGTTCGAGTTAGAGCTATTAATTACATTATATACTGTTGGGTAGTTAAACCAATAAAAATGCATCATGTTTTACAAATTTATTATATGTTTTGAATAGTTTGTAAAGTAATTCGTAACTCCAGCTCAAATAATTGTAGTGGAGCAAAAAGTATATTATTTCGCTCTGAATTAACGCTGAGTAGAAGTACCTCAAACTTATATTTAAGTGCAGTACTTGAATAAATGTACTTGGGTGCATCCCACCACTGTCAAAAACTATTTGATAAAGTCAAATCTACTATCTTAGAACTAGAGAGTAAGCACTTTGACCTAATAGTTGCTTAATTTTAAATTTAGTGTGTTTGAGTCCAGAGACAAAACAAAACTGTCCAAACACTAACAGACTGCACTGTATTAGTCTTGGTTGCTGAGCTTCATGAGTAAATTAGTCATTTCCTTACGAGCTTCAAACGGAAAAATGACAGTGTGAATTGCTTCTTCGTTATCAAAAGAAACACAAATTTAAATGCAAGAAAGAAAAGATTGGAACCAAAGTCAATAAACACAGATGCTTCTAGTTGGATTACATTGATAAATAATAACCAAGAGCCGATTGTGTGAAAAAAATGGCCCGTTAGTATTGTGCTGTCGCTCTGGGTGTGCCGAGGGTGTGTTTGAATATGCCACTGGCATTGTGGTTGTTTGACAGATGCGGAAGAAGCACAGAGTTGGCGATATTAAATGCAAGACAATAAACGATAGGTGAGCTTACACATCAGTTACTATAGGAATATTTCAATATAATACAGAGATGATATGAAACAGAAAATGTAAACATTTAAAATACATTAAAAAGGTTCCTGTGGAGTTTTCAACCTCTAGAAAACATTTTTATGGGTGGGTCCTTGTTTTGTTGATTTCATGCTGGTGATGTGATGTACATGGTTGAAGCATTGTGAAACAATGGTGGCAATAATACACCATGATACTCAGCAATGCCCCAAAAAGGCAGGGAAGAAGAAAAATACTGTCCGGCAAACATGGATGTAATTGAAGAAAGCCGGTTTTAAGCTTTTAAGACAAAATGTGGAAGGAAATGCAGTCATCATGTTTGTTAAACCTCAAGGATGCACTGATAATTTTGGTGAATAACACTTAATGTAAACAGAAACTTTTTTTACAAGAAAACTTTACAGCCTTTGGCCTCTTTAAGGTCAATGTAAACACCTTATCTTATGGTTTTAAGAAGCAACAAACTTATAATAGAAAAAAAAATGTATCTGGTGTTATAAGGACAAACACACCTTCCTTGTAGCTGGGTTGTGAAACGGCTCTTATGTTTTGGTGGCTTGTGTTGCATACATTTGAACTTCAAGAAATTTCCCCTGAAGTGTTGCAATTAGTTCATTCAAGTCAAACACTGCTGCTAAATCTGATCTGAGACTATATGTTGTAAGAGTACTTAACATTTTCAAGAAAAGTCAGAACATTCTTGGGAAAATGTGCAGATCATTTGTCAATATTATGTTTGTTGTTAAAGTTGTTGTTATTATTATGGAAAATACACTTATTTGCTTATTTGAGAAGATTGACACCATTCCCATGTCTGTTTGTCAAATACAAACAGATGGTTAGCTTATCTTAGCATAAAGACTGGAAGCAGGGAGCAACAGCTTGTTGGGAACTGTCTATTTGTTTAACACCAAGTTGTATGAGTTTCATATGAACAAAAGGAGATACAATGCGTTAATGAGTGAGCTTTAAGAGGGTGCTGGTATGCTGGTTTCCCAAAGAGTCAAACTAGTCTTTTAAAAGCAGAACTGGAAAATGGGGTTAGTGAATGGTTTTCACTAACACTTTCACTCCTACAACCTGGCATCAACAGATTCAGGAATCAAAATCATAAAAAAGCAGCCCTGATTTTGACATCTGATTTGACCCTTGATGAATGTTCTCCTAATAAAAGATTAAACAGACAAATGCTCGAGAGAAAATGTTACGACATAAATCCCTTGTTCAGCATATGTGAGGGTAAATGACATTTCGCCTGCCGTCGTCTTCTGTGTTGGAACATTTGTTTCTGTTGCCACCACAGTGTTTGTGCACAGACTGTGGGTTGGTGTTTACCTTCTGTTGCTGCAGCTCTCTGATGGTGTCTTGTGCTTTCTCGAGGCTCTCGTTGGCCGTGTTGCACTGCTGCCTCACCACTGCCAGCTCCCGCTTGATCACATAGTTCTCCTCTGCTTCCTGCGCCCTCGTCACCTGACCCTGGAACAGCAGGTCAGATCAGCTTTGGAGTTGCATATTATATACCGATGTAGGGAGACGGTTAATTCTGGGCATACAGGGAATGCAACATTATTATGCTTAGGGGTACTTTGCTACATGGTGCATAGCAGATGATTTTAGCCTGAAAGGAATAGCTTGACATTTTGTGAAATAAGCGTATTTGCTTTCTTGCAGAGAGCTAGCCCAGAAGACCAATACCACTCTCATACCTGTCAATAACTAAAATACAAAATCTACAGCCAGCAGCTGGTTAGCTTAGCTTAGCAAAAATACCTGCCTACCAGATCACCTTTAATGCTCACTAATTAACACATTACTATCTAAAAGTCTGCCAGCAAAAATGTTCTGGCAAATAACCCCCCATCAAACAACCAATATACATATTAATTAGTGAGCTTTAGAGATGCTAAGCTAAGCATCTCCTGGTTGTAGCTTCATATTTACAGACATAAGAGCTCTCTCATCTAATTCTCCGGAAGAAAGCAAATAAGCTTGTTTCCTAAAATGTCGAACTATATAGAATATTTTATTTACATTTTGGTACTCTGTGTATTTATAATTGAAGTTTGTAATAGTATGGACAATAAGAAACCTTTACATGCCACATGCAGGGAATGCACAACCTCTTATTAGAATTTCCTTCATGGATAAACAGTACATGCATTCAGAGATTACAAGATGGTCTTGTAGACTGAACAGACATACAACATAAAAACTATTCCCTCATGCACTTGTCTGGGTACATTTAAGAAGAGGGAGAGAAGCAGTGCAGGACAGCAGAAAGAGGAAGAGGAAGGAGGTGTGAGTGGGAAAGTGGTTTACAGTACTCTACCTGTATCAGTCTGTCTGCCAGAGCAGCACTCTCCTACAATGCAGCGAAGGAGAGCAACAAGAAGATGAAACAAAGATATGAAGAAAAAGTGAAAGACAGCGGGACACCGGGAGGATAAACCACAACAAAACCCAAGAGAAAATCAAGGAGAAGAAAAGACTACAGGTTCAGAAGCCAATCATTTGAAACAAATATAGAGATGTTTATGAAGAAAAAAGAGACAGCGGAGAGATTACTCAGAAAAAAGTATTTCAGAGGGGAAGAGAAGATTAGAAACTGCAGCATCTCTTCACAATAGAGTGCTGGAGGGGAAGGAAAAATAAGGACCGATTGCAAGCATCCACACACCCACAAAAACACACCAAGACTGCAACAAAAAGCTCATCGGGAGAAGAAAACCAACAGAGCTCACAAATTTAAACAAACAGCATTACAGTGTTTAACTAGATCAGAACGCGAAGAGTCCTCTGCTGAGCAATCTGGGTGTGTTTCGTCTCAATGATGCTGCACAAACCTGATATATTTTAGCATTTAGATAAGATGGAATCAAAGCCCATCTCTTACCTTCTCCAGTGTCTCAATCCTCTGCTTCAGCAGCCTGTTTTCTGTGCGTAACCTCTAAACAAAGAAAAAGAGAGACGGGAGAGAGGTACAGTTACATGACCCATTCATTGGGATATCCACATTGTGAACAAATACATAAATACACCCACACACATACAAACCTTGATCTCAATTTGTTCCTCCATTTCTTTGTTCTTGATTGTGGTATATTCTTTCTCAAGCCTGTAAAAAATAAACAAAAACAACACAGGATTATGCAATGTTATTATTTTTAACTTATAGATTGGTGGTATAATTTTAATCATAATGCTTAAAAAGCAAAGATCGATGGAGCATTAGTAGACAGACAGAAATACAAATCCTACTGGGCTACATGATGCCCAACCAGCCTGAGCCTCACTAGTCATTAGTTGAGTGATGAGTGCGCTTACTTCTTCATCCTCTTGGGGTTGTATTTAACTTGGTAGGCCCTGAGGATCAGCTTGTCTGGGCAGCTGTCAAACTGGTGGGGGATCACCTTCTGGAAATGCTGGCAGAGCCAGAGGGAAACACAAGATTAGAGAGCTGAAGACAGACAAAGGTGCTCATTCATATTTTATGAAGAAGCAGGCAGACACATTTTATAGGCACGAAGAAGAGCGGCTAAAACCAAACGCTGGACTTGTGGCGAGCCAGCAGCTGCTGTATTTTTGGAACTACAATAGTTCTGAATTACTGTGATTAACAGAAAATAAAGTTTATACAGGTATATTTATACTAAGTTAAAATATGTCATATTTCATTAACTGACATTACTGATTTAATCATTTCAGTCATTTTTCATGAAAAAAAGCCAAATTCCCAGCTTTTCAAATGTGAAGATTTGCTGCTATTCTTTGTTATATATGATAATAAAATAAATATCTTGTGGTTTTTGACTCTTTGGCAAATAAAACAAGGAATCTGAAGAACCCACCTTGGGCTTTGAAAAATTATATACATTTTTCAGTTTATTCTGACATTTTATTGTCAAAATGGTTGAATAATTAGGCGAATAATTGACAATCAAACATTTATGGCTAGGTGCTGTCCTATTTATGAATATACTGCACATTACCACAATAAAAATGAAAAGAAAAGGGAAAATGGCATTAGGGGTGTATAAGCGAAAGAAAAGCCTGAAAACCTAACAAAGCATAACCTTTGATTCTATCCTTGGATTTTGTCTCGAGATCAGACACAGAGATCAGTTGGTGTGCTTTTACTAAGAAGCAACAAATGAGTTAATTCTCTCTTGCATTACTGTTAACAGCCTTACACATCACTGAATGAGCCCTGGTGTCTGTTTCTGTTTTGAGTTGTGAAGCAGGTCTGTCGTTTAGATCTGTCATTCAGGAAGCTGGTGTGCAAAAGGGAAAGTGGGACGTAGAGCATTTGACTCGGTGCTGAATCTGTACATGAAACTAATTTCTGCAGCCAGCGGCACAAAGCTGCAGCTGCTTACCTGCGACATGCCCTCCATGTCCAGCTGAATGAGGTCAGTCTGGTTGTACTGCAGGATGGCCAGACCCACACGGAAGATAATCTCTAGGCCCTACAATCAGGTCATAGATTTTATTATAACTTTTGAATACACACAGTCAAACACATCAAATACATCTCCAGATACTTACAACACATACTCAGAATGTTTCCTACCTCATACATGAAAATATCGAAGATGCGCGTGGCAACAGGCAGAGGGAGAAAGGTGAGGAAAAGAGTGAGGAACCAGGATGAAGCATACATGGATGTGTGGAAACTCTGGGATCGGAAATGGACGTTGAGTTCTGGAAGTTGCTCCTAAGATAAAAAAAAGAGGAAGAATATAAAAAATAGTCAACCGGACACACAAAGAGAAAGTGATGTGCTGGAGATATAAATGAATGATTTGCTGCCCCTTTGTGGCTGAGTGTTACACTGCATGCCTCGTGTTTGTTTATAGACTCTCTTGCTTCCTCTTTACCTGCAGCAGATACTCAAACTGGTAGATGCAGAGGCCCAGCTCGGCCATGCTGGGTTTGAACAGCTCCCTCAGGCGGTACTCCTGCATCAGTCGCACAAAAACACAAAACGCCTCCTCCTCTGGCATCTGGGAGGAGGGGAGAGGGGTGAGTAAAGTTCCCTCATTAGGTATAAATTAGACATAGCACATGTGACTCCCATATTTCACCGATAACCTCTACAGACAACTTAATTGCGGTGCAATTTTTCATAAACCTGCCACATAACCAAATGTTTTTGGTTGCAGCAATCAGAGAAATCTAGTGGGACTGATTAAAGGAAGCTCTTACATACTGTGCTGTGTCTATAGAAAAATATGCTTATTATGGATCATTTATGGATCATTTTCCTGAAATACTTGATCATTACCTGCATAAGCAGCAGACCAACAATGAATGCGCTGCCTTGGCAGTAGCCCACCTCTCGATCCACCAGGGAGTACGCCTGAAACACACACACACACACACACACACACACATTACATTCACTATGTGCTGTATTTATAGAAAGCAGCACAGACTGTAATCCTGACTGAACATCCAGACTGTAAGCAACAGGATCAACAAGTCACCAGAGGTCCCTTCATTTCCTGCGCAGCTGAGCTATCAGGGAACTCGACTGATGTGTAGATGGTCAACAGGCTTGTTTCCATGGCTGTGAACAAACTCTCCAACCAATTTCCTTGTTTCTCTACATATTTTGTTTCATAAACAAAATTACACCAGCAAGGTAACTCTCACCAGCCTTGTCTGGCAAATGCGAAATGGAAAAGTGAATTACACATAGAAAATGGCACTTCTGGATTACTGGCTGTTCCCAGGATCAAAACTAAGCAAGGAGAAGTGGCCTTTGGTTTCTATACTGCTCGAATATGGAACAAATTGCCAGAAGAACTAAGCAGAAAAAATGTTGTCTACTTTCAAATCCAAGTTCTACCTGTTCACTGTTGCTTTTAATTCACTCTGTTTTTATTCTACATGCTTTTGCTTGCTTGCTTTTATTGTTTGTTGTTTTGTTTGTGCTTTTGTTCTTGAAAGCAGTGGTTCCCAACCTTTTTCCTTAAGGGACCCCTTTTCTATCATGATATATCTATAAGATCCCAGATATTACATGGTCAATGCCCCTTTGGGCCACATGGATGCCTGATTGTTCCCAATTTTAACAATTTACAGTTTCCACATCGAGTATCAGAGGAGCAGAACTATACCTGATTTGAGACTACCTAAACATTACCAAGTTACTCACAGCATGAATGACTATATAACTTCATTTAAAACACTGTACCCATGGTCAAACACACATACTTGTGCAAACAGACACGTATTCCAAAAGACACAAGTCTCACCCTTTCATGGATGCTAAATATCAAGACTGAGGAATTGAGACCGAAGAAGTAATGTGAAATGCTGCAGCACTCACCTTCATGACATTGAAGAGCACTTCCTGCCCCAGGCTGTCCTGGCCTTTGAAGAACTCGTGCTCGGGGTAGGTACGGGCGATGTCTCTGCGGATGAGCTTCTCACAGGGGGACGACATCTTCAGTAGCTCAGAGTACTGGTTCTTCACCGGCATGTCCGTGGCGTTGCCCAGCAGCTGCCAGACGATGGCCCGGAAATGATGAGGGATGCCCTTTCTGATCAACTCCTGGAGGGCAAAGAGATAGAGAGAGACAAGACATTAAAGAGGATTAATACCTCGTTCCTTGTGGTGAGGGATGCAAGTTTAAGCATCTCTAAGCATCTCTTGAAGAGCAACGAGCAGGCAGATTAGAGGAGGAATCAATTATGGAGTGATGAATAGATATATCTACAAGGACAATTTAGTATCATTTCATAATTACAGCCACTCAGTACATTATGATGTATCACGCTTCACAACAATTCTTCACCAACTCCTCCTTTTCATTACTCTATGTCAAATTTGTTTGCGCCTGTAGAGTTTTCAGGCAGCTAGTATCATGTTGCTTGGTTTGTCTGCTCTCCCATTTTGCCCTGACTCATTTTGCTGTCCCGTCCCCTCATCCATCTTTTCTTCCCCTGGGTTTTCTCTTTTTGTCACAGAGGACACAGAGGAAAGGAGGAGAGACAAGAGGATGAAGAGAGAGGCGTATTGGTGCAATGCAACTTAAAGGTGTAGGTGTAATCATATAAGAACAGTATTCACACATGGTAACAGATTCAGTTCAGCTGTAAAAATAAAGCCTAGGGTCTCAGACAACACTGAGCTACATGTTTCTGACACACACACAACCCTAACCTTATTAATAAAAACCAGTGACAAAGTCTGTGTGTGGATATAGATGTCCAACAAGCCTCTGCATAAAATGTGCAATGAGTCAGGGATTTACAGAGCCTTCTTTTTTTTTTCTGATCCAGTAAACTTCCTATGAAACCTGACCAACAGGATGTATAAATAAAATGAGGAGGCTGATAATCTTTTTACGGATGTTCTCATTTTTAATTGCTCTCAATGACTCATGCTAAGGAAAACACTACACGTGACAACAAAATCTTTCCATCTCCAGTCCCTGATCCCCACCTTAAGGAGTTTGTCCTTCTTGCGTCTCCACTCCTCCCACTCGTTGACGATGCGGCCCCACAGGATCCAGGTATCCTCCTCCAGGTGAGACAGGTTGGAGGAGGCTGAAGAGCTGGACACCAGTGAGGAGCCGCTGTTACGCCGTGAACCGCTCATCGAGCGCATGGACTTAGAGTCAGCCTCCAGCAACCTGCATGAAGAGACAGTTTATGAGGACAGGAAGCTCAAATTACAATTGATTATTTCTGATGGAAACAGTACATTGTTACAAGGCATGGCATATTTGTCTTATACAAGATGGCACACAGACTGAAGAACTAAGATGAGCATTAGGAGTGGTGGCAGGCATATATGACATTGAGGCAGACTGTGACATTGCGAGGATCAGTACAGTTTGTGGACAACCTTGCTGAGGCACCAGAAGCCTCAGGGCTTGTTCCCTGAAACTACAGAATCAGAGACCCATGAGGATACACACACAGCTGGCTGTGAACATTAAATAGACAAGAAAGCAACAATACATGTACTACGCTACTAATCTATCTCAAGTCTATTAAATGAATATGCTGCCTTTCAGGGTATAGAAATCCTAGAGTTGGGTACTGAAGAAGTGTAAACAATATAAACAAAAAGGTATTGTAAATATGATACTGTGTCTTTTTTTGATGATTTCTCAGTTGACAAATTTTCTTTCAGAATATTGCAGAAAATAGGCCATGTCTTTGCAGTAATACTTTAATCTACATACAGTACAATAAGTCCATATTGTAAATGAGGAGTTTCTGTAGGTTACATTTCCAACAGTTTGTCACTGTCTACATGACTGTGCACATTTTCTGTTTGTTCTGTTAGACACATTGACTGACTGCTACTCATATAACCAAAGAAGAGTCAAAGTCAAAAGTCAGAAGAGCAAATATATTAGAGGAGATTACTAGCCTAGACTAGTGTGTCAGAAAGTCTGTATTTCTCACAAACAATCATGAGTTAAAAGAATAGGGAATTAGATTTTTGCTGAGAGTAAGATGAGAAGATTGATACCACTCTCATTGTGATTGTGATTTCTGCTCATTAAATATGATGCTGCATCCAGCAGCTAGGTTAGATTAGCCAGTAAATCACTACTTCCGGTGAAGACATATTCCAACACAGAACCTCTTGTAAAATCACAACTTGTTGTTATTGCATCTTTCGTTACTTTTAGACAGATTTTTTGTTTTTCCTCTGTCTCTTGCTCCAGGCTTTATGCTAAGATAAGCTAACCAGCTGTTGGCTGTTACTTTATATGTCACATACAATATGGGAGTGGTGACAATCTTCTCAATAAACATATTTCCCAAACTGCTAAACTATTCCTTTAAATGTTTTTATTTTTAGCCTTGTATTCTTTGGATTCTGGTGCAGCAGGACAGCAGGAAGCAGAGATGATGTGATTAAAGAGACCGCTCTTTATCCTGAGGGTGTTAGGTTCAGTCCCACTTCGAGTCTAAATGTCTTATTCTTTTAAATCACTTGACTCCACGTCCTGCTCTTTGACTCCTCTGCTGAAACATGTGATGGCTGGATAAAGAATTGTACAGTATGTGGCTCCTTGCGCTTAAAAATATCACAGCGCGTGTGAGTCCCTGCGGGTGTTATTAAAGTGTAATTGAAACATCTATTTTTCTGTAGTGGTACAAACATGTGAACAGACAGTATCTGGTGCTCTTTGTTGTGTGGGATTAAACCCTTACCTAACACAGGGATTAAACCCCACCCATTGAATGGAAAAGTGACTTTCCAAAACATGACTGTGAAATGGAAATCGTGAACTGATTAAATAATAAGCTTTCTGAAAGAACATACAGTAGCATCCAGGGTACATTTGAGAATTTAAGGTTATCTGGTTTAGTGACTGAGGCGTTCCTCTGATGGAGAGACAGGCATCAGGAACCGACGACAGAAAGTCATTCAGGTAATTTCAGATCTCACTCTGAGAGAAATGAAAATCTCTGTACTGTTGACTGTTATTATCTGCAATTAGAAACGGATTAAAGCTTCTTTATTTCTCCTCTTCCCTATCTCCACTGTGGGGTGACTTTATATTCTTCAAAATGTGTTCTAAAAAGTAGTTTTAAAAAGACAATTACTGATATAGTGCCCATCTATTCAGTGTTTTCTAAAACACTAACCTACATACCCATTTTTCGTTACCTAGTGTATTTCTTGCAGATGTAGGGCATCCAGATTTGTGATTCTAGGTCAAATTGACATTGGCTTGTGGTCATTTTACACAAATCCCTTTGCACTGGACTTGCTGCATACACACCTTGAACAATGACAAGTCCAAAAGGGGCCTGTGTCTAAACACTGCAAAATATAATACTATTCTATTTCTACAGAGGTCACTGTGACCACAGCCTTACAACTATTATCTGAGTAGGAAACTCTCACTCCCTGTGGACTTTAAAGGTGACTCTAAAACATTATTTTGATTGTTTAATAGAGGATAGTGGCTACAGTCTGCTTGGATTCATGATGTTTAGGTAGAAAATGTCCGCTTCTTACTCATGTTGCGTAATTCACTTCTCTGCTATCCGTCTATGTGCTTACTTTGTTGTCATGGAGCTAAATACACTTCAATCTTCTCTGCAACAAAAGCTAAACTAAGGTTCAAGTATTCATTTAAGCCTCACAAATATACAGCTATTTCTTATATTTTCATGTGCTGTTGAAATTCAGGGATATTTAAAAGCTCTTGGATGGGCTGTGAAGGACAGACTTTTTTCTTCTGCTTAGCATACTTCTGAGTGTTTGGCAATATTGTGTTGATTTTTATTGAATGTAATATCAGTGGTTGCTAATCCTAAGTGGCCTTATGCACAATTTTTGGCGTTTAATGTAAGAGCTGTTCTTTGTATGGGAGCACACACTTTGATGTTGTGGGTAAAATTTCAGGATGATGAACAGCTATCTAGTTTGCTGATGATAACCTCCACTACTATCGTCACTTTTAAAAAAAGGGCCAGATATCATATTTATGATCTCCTTTCATGAAGTACTAATTATCTCCCACATTAGACCATCTCATTAATTAGGCCAGGTTGCTGTTTTAATGCTATTTTCATTCCTTGTTTCTTCTTAACGTCAAACTATAAGTACAGTTTTAATTTGACCTATTTGCCCGATCATTTATCTATATTCTTGAGTTTATTTTCCAGTTTGATCAAGATATTTTACTTTATCATCATCACCAACATCAACTATTGACAGTCTTTCCTGTTCCATTGTTGGATCTTTGATCAATTATTATTTTACTTTAGGTTGCTAATTACCCATATCTTACAGGCCACAACTACACTGAGTTTTGTCAAGACTGACGTTCACCTACGGTTGCCACCTTCATTGTTGAAAAATAAGGGACCCTGTGTGAGCTGCACACCCAGGGGACACAAACCAAGCTGTGGGGCTCTCCCCAATGAGATTTTGAGTATAAGACATTTAATTTCCTGTATTCTGATGAATTGTTAATGCTAATGTTAATTTGTGCTTTTTATGCATCAATTTCAAAGTCCTCCGTTACTCACAACATGAATGTAAAGGAGATAAAGAGTCATAAGAGTAGAACACAGTTGCATCAATTATATTAAGGATTAACATATAAGATCAAAGACAAAATGTTTGGTCTGTCAAAATATATGAGCCTACTTGGTATAATTATAAGAAACAATGACCCATTGATAAACTCGGTAATAGCAAATGTTCCAATGCTGTACCCAGTTTTCCCTTCATACATCCACGATTATATACACAGAATAGGTAAATGTAATTCATACACCTAACCCTTCAGTATTAATTGGTTGAAGCTGTTACAGTAAAAGTGTAATAACTGCTTTGTTTTCACTCAGTACTTAAACACAGTGAGGACAGCTCTCACCTGTTCTGCTCCTCCAGCTTGGCCAGCAGCTCCAGTTCATCAGGACTCAAGTTCTCGGAGTCTGCCGGGGAGGCCGCAGGTGCTGACATCACTGCATCATGGGAAGATGAGTCTGGGCTGAGCACTGGGCTGCCCGTTGACGAGGGGTCTGCATCCATCCCGGGAGGGGAAGAAGGGCACTCAAGCTGAGGGAGAGACCCACTAGAACCCTCTCTTTCTGGGCTGCCACTGGGTATAGACATGGTGGTGACGATGGAGGGGGATGGATGAAGCAGTGTGGGTGCGGTAAGGGGGTCTTCCAGCCTCACTGTTGGTCTCCCTCCTCAGTGAGCCTGGCTGTCACCTGATTGGCCGCCTGGCTGGCCGTGGAGCCAATATGATCAGAGGTCTTCAAACCTGTTATTGATGCAGAAAAAGCAGAATGAAAACGGCTGACCACAGATAAATAATGAGTTAACAATTATGTTCTCCAGTTGTACAAAACCTTGTAAGCTCTATTTTTAAAATAAGACTACACCAAACGCCAATTTTCATTATTGATTAATCACTCGATTTCTTATTAATTGTTAATTTTGTCTTCAAATCTTTTGTTTTGTCTGACCAGTTGTCTAACCCAAAGATATTAACAATGAATTGACAATGAATTGTTGTTGACTAATTCTTTCAGTATGAAAAGTTTTTTGACTTTAAAAAAAAAAGAGGCAATTAAAATATTTCTGCTGTAGATCCAAAATGCTTGAACGTGTATTTCTGAAAATGGGAGGACTTTTTGTCATGTGATTTTGAATAATAACATACTGACATCAAGATTAAACTGTAACATAAATTAGTCAAAGAAATGAAGAAATGGAAACTGCGTAGTCCTCCCGATGTGTGTGCACACAAACTGGTCATACTGGTCCAGTCCACAAGAAAGCGACAATAATGCCGCTCCACACCCTTGTTCAAATAACAACTTTAAAGGAGTGGCCCTGACTCACTGTAATGACATCATCCTGAGTGAGAAAATCATGGTCCGTCACTGCAGACAGACACGCTAAGATAGACTGCGTCCTAGTGATACCTAACGACATGCAAATAATCTATTGTGATCAAAAGATATAAGTAAACTGAGATATGAACCAGTCAGCAGTGTTACACGCCTGAAACATTGTTCTTCAATTAATATCAAGACTGTACAGCTTTTAGAAGGACTGAGGCATGGTAATGCCTCCTGAGCTATTAATGTGCATTAAGAGATAATACATCAATCAGATCGTAAATAACTCAGATGAATTATTGAGCGAGTTCAGAGAGATAGGGAAGGTTGACACCTTCAGAGCTTATGAAGAGCTGAAGCCTTGTCTCTTTTCTAGTGCTCGACCAAGATGGGATTTTTGAGGACGATACTAATACCGATTTTAGAGCCGATAGTGATTTTTGAGCTGGAATGACAATAGAGATTTTCTATATGGACTGTTCAACGATATGTAAATGCAAAGGTACTCAGAAGGCTGTTTTCTTAAACAAATAACTTTATTGTACATGTTAAATAATTTAACATATACATAGTCAATGGTTGCCACTGCTGAAAGCTGTTTCTGCTCTCCTTCTCAGTGATGCTTGTCACAGTGTTGTAAATCATAGTGCCCTCTGCTGGACATTTTTTTTTGCATCGCATACCACATAATGGATAACATAAATGCTGATGCTAATACCAATCGACTAATATTGGTATCGGTATATTGGTCTGGCTCTTTTCTCCCTTCTTGTGTAAACAAACCCATGTAAACTTGACTTGACTTCACAGCGAGATAAAAAAAAAACTGATATAACTATTCTGTTTAGGCAGATTGCATTGTCAATAGATTCTTGATTTTTCGAGGGTTTTATAAATAATAAAAATAAAATAAAAAGTTGTTGTGTGTCTGTTTGTGTCTTCCACGTTTAATTAGCTAAGGGCATACAAGGGAGAGGTATTTGTTTCTGGAGTGCAAAATTTAACTTGCTAATGTTAGACCCTGTGATTTGTTTTCCCTCATCACATTCATCTTTACAAATACATGCACACGATAGAGAGCTGAATATTAAAGGACAGTGTGAATATTTCACACATAGCAGAGGAAAAACAAACATCCCAGAGCTTGGCTGTTGTGCTGCTTATGACTGCTACTAAAGGTCTTACCAGTGAAGCAATAAGGACAAAGACTCATTCAACACATACACACTTTATAAATATATATAGAGACATAGACATATATAAACTCTGCGTCTTTCCCTCTCTGTGCTGCAGCTAGTAATCAGAGAGGCAGCTGAGGAGTTTCAACAGGTCTGTGGAGAAAATGAGAAAATGAAGCTGATGCTCTGTAATTGGGAGCAAAGTGTGGAGCTACAGTGTACTCTCCTGACTCTCCCTCCTCTGCATTATGGATGGCAGCTCTTTTACTGGGGTAGCCCTGTGGAAATTACTTCTGGCCACACACACACACACAC